GACCAGAGATTCCAATTCTGAGTAGGGTTACCCTAATTAGGAGGGTTTCCTAAATATCACATCCTGGTACTCCTAACACTAGTAAAAATATTTGTTTTAATATAATTATGAAATAACTAATACAGAAAACCCTTACCAGGCTGAAGAGTTAACTTTATAATCAAACTTGGTAGACAAATATAACTGTCAATAAAATTTCCCAATGGAATTATTGCACAAAATCCAAGAGGAACATTCTGCAGATCTACACAGACATTGGTAAAGGTAGACAAGACTGTTCCCCTTGACATCCATTTTCCAAACCAGCCTTTCTCCTGCTCAGTTAAGTTGAAATCTGGTAGTTGATCTTGTACCTTTCTATATTTGGTGTAAAACTCTAGAAGAAAGTATTGGAAATATTTTTGTGTCAACTGTGTCAAAGGATTAATTGCATGCAGGTAATCCTTTAAGGTATAAGCATTTCCTCTTTTGGCTTCCCAAATATCTGCAGGTTCACGCTAGAGTTAAATATCTCTAATTGACTTGTCATATCTGGCTGTATAATATGCAGGGATGTTAATACAATAGTATTGATTTTCTGGGATAGGAATAGCTGGACCACCCTCACAAAGAACTTTAATACCCGAGAATTGATCATGAGTAGTCCTGCACTTATGCCGGTTATTGTCATGAGAAGATTTTGGATCTAATGCAAGATAGCCATATAGGCTAGTAGTAACTGTCTCAAGAAGCTTTGCTGAAATAGCAGTATCTTGAGTTGATAGATTAGACTTCATTATTGATCCCGCCATCACGCACCCCCCGCTTCTTTCCGTGCTCGGCGTAATTTCCATAATATCTTCGTCAGCTTCTCGAAATAGGTACGGTCCGCAGACAGGGCACCCCCGGCCGTACTTGTGGATCGTGGGTGCTTTGTAGGGGAGGTTGCGCTTTTGGAGTGTGGATAGTTAGTATTTCCCTCCTCCTTGATGTGGGGCTCTGAGAGATGGTATTTTTTTCTTTGTTTGGTATTGGTTGTTTATGGCTTCATCACGCACATTGGTATCGTAATCCGGCGGCTCTGTGAAGGGATTGCGCCACTGGACGGTTGGAGGATTTAACAAAAAAAAGAAGATTGCTTCCCTGGAAATCCTGATGTGCCCTTTTTACCTTTCGGCACCACAACCGTTATTTCTATTCCCAATCTTGTTCGAGATCCTTCTGCGAGTTTTTTTTGCAGGGGTATGATAAGTTTATGGATTAAGCTACCCTGTCTCGTATCCGGCCACAGTAAGTTTTCTCCTACCATGCTCGTGTCCACTATCCTCACACCATAATTATCGGAATTAGATCATCTCGTGGTATTAATTAGATCTATTTTTGGAGTAGGCGGCATCGTAGACCAGTACATGCCACGCTCCAAACAAAGAATGCGAGAAAGAAACGAAGAGTTTGATATACCCCCACCGAGAATGTAGTCCCACCACCCATTAGTACACCATATAAATACAATTGATCCCCAGATATGCTCCCAACCGGACAAGGTTCCCGCCCTGCCTGCGTATATACAAATTGATCAAACCTCTACCGTATTCTAAACCGAAAGAAAAGGAAAACACCACCCAATGCAAAATAAATAAATATGGAACCAAGGTAGAAATAGGAAATAACCCTACCGCCACCCCGGATCATCGCCCTCCACCCAACTCCTCTCGCTCCACGAGGAGCAGGTTGCAGAACTGTAATCGCTTTGCGTGCTAGCGACCGACAGCCGTGTTGTTGAGACCTCCGTCAACGCCTCCTGTGGCTGTGGTTCAATGATGGTGTGTTCCGAGATTCGGTCTCGGGAGCGGGAGCGAGTAGTGGCCGATAGGGCGAGGATTCTTGTAGAGGAGCTTCTTGGGGAGGGTGATGGGGGAACGGGGATTATGGTCTGACTGTATGTCTGTCTGGGGGGTGGGGGAAAGTTCTGTTGGGCGTATGATGGAGTCTGCGGCTTGGGGTGGTAGTGTCTTGGGAGAATGGAAGCAATGGGCGATTGCGGGTTGTTGAGTGCTGCTTCAATGTTTCGGGACCACCACGACTGCTGATAAACTGTGGTTACCCGCGGGCGAGGGCGGGAGGGAGGGCGAGTTGGGAGGAAGGCAAATGGCTTGGAACTGGCGCGGCGACGGCGACAGAAGACTATTGATAACACTAACAAGATGGATCCCAAGACGCAAGAGGTTATTATGGCTGCAAGCTGACCCGGTGTTATACGGGATCCAGCCGGAAATGATGATATCGTGGGCGGGGCTGGAGGGCTCATAGTAGTGGTAATATTCGATGATGCAGTGGGGATAATCAAGGAAGACGAAGACAATGATGGCGACAAGGTCGAGATAGAGGTCATTGGAGGCGGGGTCATGGAAGGAGAAACGGGGTTCCCACTCTCACTAGACTCCGAAGAAGTCTCCGGGAAACTCGTCGACAGCGATGTGAATTCGCTCCCTGAAACTCGACCACTGCTCGTGATACCTACCGGATCAGCCGTCGGCGGCGGTATCCCGTTCGTCGCAGCCGGCACAAAGTTCTGGCCCTTTCTCTGGAATCTGGTCTTCCAGTACTCCGAGAAAAGAGTATCCGCAACAACCGTTTTCCCCCTCTGTCCCTCACAGACAATCTTCCTATAGCGAACCATTTGATCCCGTTGTACGGAGCGGTTACTCACCGCCTGATCGCACGTGCTCAAGCAAGCATCCATTCTCCCAATATACTCCCCCGCGTCCTCCCCGCACCAACAATCGGTCATTTGGGCGAGGTCGCGGCCGACAGTACAAAAGTGCACCATCTGTGTCTGACAATTATCCCCGCAGGGATCGAACAGTGGGCCATAGCCAATCTCCGCAGCGCGGGCGAATAATGAAACAAAGTGCGAGAATAGGATATATGACCAGCATCGACGAATAGACATTTCTTATGGGCCAGGGAGAATTAGTTAGGGATTAATGTAAATTGGAAGAAATGGAGGAGGAAATGAACTCTGCCGTCTGGGCTGGTGACCCATTACTGTGGACAACGAAAACAAAGGAAATGTTTGAAAGAAATGAAGGGAAAGGTCAAATAGAAGGAAACGACATTGGGATTGTAGATTGTCGATGTCGGCACTAGTATTTACGAAGAAGGGAAGAAAGGGAAGAAACGAGGGAAACGAAATAATATTAACGGGCGTGTCGCAGCGGGGGTGGGGGGGGACTCTGGTGAACTTATGTATGTTTTAATTCTATCCCCTTTTTCCCCGGATTTACTCTTGACAGGGCCGCCGAAGTGATTCAAGATTATAACTTCGCACACATGCGGCGCAATCCTCGCTCGCGAACCGCAAATAGAAGGTTGGCGAGATCGTCGGGTGTAACACCCTGTAGGTTGCGTGCTCGCTTGTCTTGCCTCTTTTGGAATAGTTGGGGTTGGGAGTTCTATTTTGGCGTTGGTTGCTATCCGCTTGGCAGGGCAGGGTGTGTAAAAATAGACGGTGATTGTTATCCCTGACCCTGAAGGGAGGGGGGAAACAACAATAGCAATGAATTGTTTGGCATGGTTTGCCGAGGAATAAAAATATATCGGTCGGCACACGGTGGCGGCGGGGGGGACGTAGCGGGGGATGGAGTATGTGCTTGGTTGTGGAGTCGCTATTGGAGGTCGGATGGTAGGTCAAGTTAGAGATGGATGAGGGGTATCACGACTTGAATAAACATGCAAATAAATAAACTCACACCCCACCCGTACTCTACGAGTACTGTACTTCCCGCTCTGAATACTGTAGGCTACAGTGTTGTATCAATACCTGCTATTCCCTCCTTCTTAATTTCCGTCCTTGACGTTAGTCTACCCTCGGTTTTGAATCGTCACATTTGGCCGACACCCTGCTGCACTTCTTGAACGATAACCAACAGTCTTTATAAAAGAACACAGTAACGAAAACAGCCCCCCCTTGCGTTTTCTATTACCGTACCGGTACTATAAACGCGCTCCCCCGGGGTGCATTTACGAGCTAACAGCAAGGTACCATACATGACTAACTTGTGATTTAGTATTCTAGGAGTTTGGCTGGTAAGTAAGGTCCCGAGCGCATGGATGACGGTAGTACGTGCTACGGTGGCTAGAGTGCAAAATGACAAGAATACGAGGTTATAGCGACGTAATAGCACCTGGAAAATACACAGTAACTCGAGCTTCTAGACTTTTCGTTGCTTTACTCGGTTTGTCAGCTAGTGAGTCTGGGTAGAGGGGGAGGGGTATGGTTTTTGTTTCTCACGGTGTTGCCTACACTGTCCACAGTAATATTCCAACCGCGTCCATCTATCCGTTCGTCTCCACCCCCGTTTCTGCAATTTACTACTCTACCGGTACCTAGAAACATTTATCGTAGCCTACCAGCCTACCACCATAGGAACCTCCACGACCAGTTTAGTCTGGTGATACCTATCATACTAATGCCAGCGGTAGGTAATAGTGATGGTAATAGTGATGGTAGGGTAATACCACAATGCACGCTGAGTAATTTAGAATAAACTTGCGATAACATGTTACGCATCATACTCCACGTGGTGATGAAGTAAGCTTTTTTTTTCTTCTTTTCTTTTAAGGGAAGGTGGGGTTGTGCTTAGTATGATGGGTATCACGATGCGGTCTGGAATAGAATCGAGTCATACAGCATTTGAGAGGTATCATACAATACTGTATTGGGCATGGTAGGCTTGGTATGCGGAAAGATTGATGCTCGTGAACAGCTACGGCACTTTCTGCGCGGAATGCTCGTACGGTACCAGCATTGACTTAGAAGTACTCGTACTCGTACGTACTCAAGTACGGCTGGAGTACAGTACGCGATTGGCAAGCAAGGCCCCTTCGCTCCGGTTTCTTTATGCAGGCAAGTTTGCATGCATTTACACGGCCCTTACTTCCGCTGCTCTGCTCACTCCTTGCCTTGATCCCCAGCACAGAAGAGTGCGGTATGTGAGTTATGGCATCATACACCAAAGCAAGCTAGCATATGCAGGAACCGCGCGTTGCGCGCCCAGCATTAACAATTGTTTCTTGATCGGATGACTAACTAGGTAAACCAGTAAAAACGAACATGAAAGATTGTATGACCCCCTTAAACCCCTCCCATAAGTCCTCTTCTACCGCATCTTGACTAAAAGGGAGGAAAAATCTACCTAACTACCGCCCCCTCACTCCCACTCTCACTCTCGAGCGCTTCATCCTCATCCTCCTCATCGCTGTCGCCGAACTCTCCGCCGACCAAGTCTGCCTCCTCATCGGCACTAACGCTGATCCCACCACTCCCTCCGGTGCCCCTGCCCCTCCATCCACCCCCGGTGCTCCTCTCGCCACTCTTCCCCCCAATCTTGCCGATCCAGCGAAGTATCAGGCCGCCCGAAATAAAGTCCTCACCGTCGAGGATGGCGCCGTTGTCGCGGATCTTGACGCGCTGTCGGCGCCAGTATATCCACGCGAATTCGATGTACAGGATTGTCTGTAGTACACCGAATATAACCGCCCACGGCTCGAAGAACTTGTCCGTCGGGTCGTTGTATCGCACGATCCAGTTTGGGATGTATAGTGCGCGGTAGACGCCCAGTGCTAGTAGGTAGTAGCTTGTTATGGCGGTGGGGATGGCGGTGTACCGCAGCAGCGATATTTGCGGGAGTACGGCGAGGGATTCTAGGATTATGCTGAAGGTCCAAGGGATCTACAGTGTCATCGTATTCCAATTAGCATCATGTTCCCATCGCCCACCCTGCAGGGGGAAGCTTACCTGAGTGGCCCAACCTCCCCTCTTCGTCTGCCTCCAAATAACTTCCTTCAACCCCCAACAAACCGGTGCGAGCACAAAGCTAATCGCTAGAACCACCGCCGCTACCCTCCACTCCTTTTCTTCCTCACGACTCCGCTTGAAAACCCTCAGCATGACATATATGATGTAGAAGCTAGTGAGGATGTATGTCCACTTGAAAATCGTCACGTACGCGCTGGCGTCAGGGCTGAAGATGTCGGTGTAGCGGGTGAGAAAGACGAGAGCGTAGAGCATCTGGGTGAGGAGGGAGATGCCCTCCGCACTACTGCGGAGGTGGATCGTAAGGATTAGAATTGCTTTGGAGGCTAGGTGGCAGAGGTCGCCGGTTAGGCGGTAGGCGTTCATGTGGCCGGGCATCCTTTATGTGTGTTTTTCTGTGTGGCGTTCTAGAAAGCAGTGAAACAAGAGAAGGGAAGAGAGAGGGGCTAGGGGAGATAGGCGAGGGTTCACTCTGGTTATACACGTGTCGACCTCGTCCCGTAAAATTTGATGCGATGTCGGGGAATCCTACCGTATTTCCCCAATCACACTGCCGGTACCGCACTATTGCAGATGGACGGATACTCGTGGCGTTGCAACAGATGAGGGTGGGGAAAATAGCTGTCGTGTTCTATGCTATGCTCTTCTATGCTAGCTTAGCCTAGTCAACCCCTATGATACGCGCGGTGGCTAACGTATTGTATTCGTCCGTGATAAATAAATGACAGGTAATGTCTGGTCGAAGCTATCTCGGGCTGGCCCTGGAGAGGATTGTTCGCATCGTTCGAAGGTGGGGGTGGTGGTGCGATGGGTTACTTATGATACCGTAACTCGTTGCCGAATTGTCTCTAGGATCGGGAGTTGTGGGGTAATTAGAGTTGCTTACTAAGTGCTGCTCTTGGACTTACCCGGCTTTCATGGGTAGTCAATCGGAAAGGTTGCGGAGTCATCGGGTGAGAGGATGCGCAAGCAATAGAAGAGGACAACATGCGCCACGTGAACCAGTGACCAGAAGTACTGGTGAGGGTTAATTAACGGTATTGGGTCCTGGATTTGGATACCGATATATTATGAACGGGTGGTTACTGTGTAGCTCGCTTCATATTTAAACCTTTGCACTTACTGAAGTGTTTTCCCTATCGCTGTGACCCACTTTCCAAAAACCACACCTTGTTTCTGGGTCTCTACGGTGACTTACGGAAACAATTAATACATAGAATCCAATAAAGAAGGCATATACCGATGGACTAGATGGAATCTCCACTTCCGCACTATACCCAAATGTGTACTTAAAGTGCGGTAGGGTGCCCGTACTGGGGTTGCAGCTAAGCGCTCGCTGGCTCCCGATCGGCACTCTAAAGAGTTCCTGCCGGTACAACATCGCTTTACACCAATGTATCTTTGTGGCTCAATGTTACTTCGCAGCTCAAGGTGACTTTGTGGCTCAACATTACTCTTAGTATTATAGTTTACGGTGCAATATAACTTTGCGGCTGAGTTGCTATCCGGGTACAACTATTAGTAATCTTTTCCTTCCCTTTGACAATCGTTTTTAAGATAGAAACAGTCGCAAAACTGAACGGAGTAGTTGTATTCTACGAGGCGCTGGGTTGTGTTGGGCCACAAAGTTAGGTTGCGCTGTAGTATTAGGGGGATTTAGCAGGTCCGGGGCACGGTTCGTTAGGCCAAGGCAGCCTCTATACTCGAGTGAAGAGTTTAGAGAGGATACTCGAAGATCGTACCTACCCGCCTAGGCGGTTATATACCCTCCTAGAAAGCGTCCTGTCTTTGAATGCTTCTCAGGTGATAATAAGAATTGGTGGAGTGAATTTTTGAGGTGGAATTTAAGGCTTAAATCCTAGGGTTTTTATTAAAAAATAAATAGAAAAAATATTAGGCTTCAAGAAAGGCATGAGGGATGAAACAAAGGTTAATGGTTTTGTAAGGGGACTGATTAGGATTAGTACACTTTCCTTATCCGCCTCATAACTGCTATCCATGGCAACCTAGATGGACTCTATTGCTAGAGCGTAGTTAGACTCGGGCGAGGGAATTGTTCCACTTTCGTTACCCTAGCGAATGATGCCTAGACCTGCTAAATCCCCCCTACTCATGTTGAGCCAGCGGGAACTCATTAGAGAGCGCCCGGCTGCAAGCCGTAAGGGTTGTAACGCCTAGCCACAACCTTGGCACGAGTACCTACGAGCACTGAAGTGTGAAAGTCGAATCATGTGCTGAGCGGCGAACCCTAACCCTGAATAGCGTTCGAGTTCAGAGTTAACTGGTGGCTTATTACTTAACTGCTCACGGTATGAAGGAAACAAAAGTAGAAGAAGTAGAAGTAAGCAAAATCGAGTTTATGCGATATGCCATAATCGCTCTGTGGTTCGAGTACTCGAGTACTTGCTGGCACAGCTCAAGGTGCGTACATACCGCAGTGTTGCTGCGGTATCTGTATACTACTCGGGTACAGTAGTGCTCATCATTTATGTTTTCAGCCCTTTCCAAACTGGAGGTGTGACCATATAGTAAAATCTTATGAAATCCACTGTCTCCGATATCCCTATAATCGGATTCTGGGTCGAAGTTACCGAGAAGGATTAAAGCTCTACCGACACAGTAAAGATCAGAACTCAGCAGGTGTTGGATCTCATTTGCGATTCCTTTGGCTTGTCAAACTGAGCCTATACTGGGCTGATGGAAGAAGTGGATTTCGCGAGATTTTACGGTAGTATCATCCGTCAGTTGGTATGATATCATACTTGTAGAGGGTAGTAAGCTATAGGGCTAGGGTTGGGGTTTTCAGGAAACTGACTTAATGTCAGCCTTAGCCCAATGAGCAACCAATGGAAATGCGACTTCCTCAGAACAGAATTCATCCCAATAGGCTATTATTTATGTATTGGTACATACAATTTACCCGGAAATAAATGATACGCGGTGAAAACATGAACAACCTGAGAGGTAGGTACACTGGATTCCGGTACATAACAGCTGACTTGAGAAAGAGGCCATCAGACAAGTCAAGCCTATATCAGCTATAGGACTACCATCACAGCCGCAACCTACCCTAATCCTATTGAAACACTCGGGTTTTCGCGATGCTAACCAGGAAATGGTGGGTGAGTATGATACTAACCACAATTATTCTTGGCTGTGCAGGTATTGCCTTATCGTATCGGTAATAGCATCACCATTAATGACTCGAGTATTTGTGTGCTGTGGCCGGATGAGCGGTATAAATACTCTTCAATATCCCACGATCTGGAAAAAAAGCCATCCTCTTACACATCTCTCAACAGTACTTCAAAAATACACTTTTATCTCAACAAAATTTCCAGTTCTTTTATATCACCTCACGACACTCACTATGTCCTTCTTTTAATACCAACTTCCCATATCCAAAAACCAAACATCAAAATGAAGACTACTATCTTCTCCTCCACTATCGCCATTTTCGCTACTTTGGCGACTGCCCTTCCCGCCACAGCCCCGGCTGACCCCGCAGTTACCCCCGGCGCAGGCATTACCACCCGCGACCACGTCAAGCAAGTGATAAGCTCCAGTGCCGTGGTCACCATCAACGAAGATACACCCGACACCGCCCTCGGCATTGTCGACAAAGCGATTGTCTCTCGGGTTGACAGCAAGCAAAACTCCCAAGCGCTCCTCAAGTTTGATTTCCCCGAAGGTCTCACTGGGTATAAATGCCGATTGGCGTTCGGACACTCAACCCAGTTCGGCGGTACTGGTAAGATCCAGGTATTCGCCATTGGGGACGCGAACATTGCGGGAGCGACCTTTAATAAGAGACCTTTCAGGGACCAGTTTAAGGCTACTTTCCGTGTTGCCGGTTGGGGTGAGGCTACGGTTGTTGATGGTCCGGGATTGACTTTCGATTGCCCGTTTATGGGAGCTAAGGCATATGAGGTTATTTCTGTCGGTGATAACAATCAGGTTGTTTGGTATGCGCCTTGGGGCGGATTGAGAATCGATGTCTTGTAAGGTTGAAGCCATTGTCGGGTAAGATTTTGCTTGTACTACGGCTTTCATGCTTTTGTCATGTTAGCTCCTTTCTTTTCTTTCTTCAAACTATTTTCTTTGAAGGATTGCATTGAATGGTACTAGTGGGTTGGGTTTGCATTTCGTTTTTTGGAATTAGAGCATTGGGTTACAATTCTATCGTTATTAAGTCATTTTCACGAGAACTATTATGGTTAGATTAATCGCACTGCGGGAATTGATGGGAGGAATATACACTTTTATACTTGAACCTCTTCTGAAAGTGATTTTTTCTTCATACCCGTATGAGCCATTAGAGATGGCAGAAGAAGAGTGACAATGCTTTGAGTTTTGCTAATAAGCATACTGCTCTGATTAGTTTGTTGGGCAAAGGTTTGCCAGCTGTACCCAAGTCTCTTCAGATTGTCTTGAGATATATTGGCCTGTTGTGATGAACTCATAACTTTAATCCTAATCTGTTTATGGCATCGGGATAATGGTATCTTAGCACTATTGGTTTTTTTGGCTGAGGAAAATAATTTTTGATCAAACAGATTCAAAATCTTCCAAACTGTTCCGGACTCTGCAGGACGTTTTTTAAAATAGACTCCGGAACTGGAAATAAATATTGATTGACGTGTAGTGTAATCTATTGGTCCACCGTGCAATATTTTTTTGATGGAACTGCTGAAACCTTTCACACTGATGCAAAACCCATCTTCTGGGATCTTTGAGAAATATCAAGTAGAAGCTCCAAACCTACTGCTCGAACAGTATAGATTAAACTAGAAGCTTGGAGTTGCTCTCATTGATATAGACCCAATATTGGGGTGTTGGGGTTATCACAATTGTGGATAACCTTCAGAGTGTTTAATTTTAGTTTTAAATTTATTGAGTGTAGTGATTCAAAGAGTCAAAAAGAACTGATACATATCTCCAAGATGTAGGTGAGTCAGGTAAAGTCAGTTAGGCACCCTATCAAGTATATTGAAAAGACCACACTCAAACAACCAATTCACAAGTAACCTCCCAATCCCAATCCCAATCCACTAATCCCCAGTTATGACAGACTCGACCCCAGCTTACTTAAGAGCTCTCGGAGAAAGTTCGCGTTTTGGGGTACCCTTAGTCCAAAGTAGATCTTTGGTCCAACTGATTCTCGTATCCAGCTTCCTCTTCAGGTTATTCATTCTTCTCCGATATCTCCCATCAGAGAAGGGGGTGTGAGAAGATTCGTCATCGGCATCGTAGGCGCTGCGTTCTTTCTCGTATTCGATATAAAGTTCTCGACTCGGAGGTCGGATATAGCTGGTATATCCGAACGTTTTATTTTCGGGTGTGATTTTAGTGTCTGTAGGCTTGGTGATTGACTTCTCAATAGATTCTGCCGGAGATTGGTGACATGTGGGGTTACTGGTCTTTAGCTCCGCAGCTGGTTCCTTATTTGTAATCTCCTTTGGTTCCTGTGTGGAGGCGCTGGTGGTATGTGGAGAGATACATCTCTTTACTGGTAAATGGTCAGGTACGGGCGGAAGTACTGGATGCTGATGATCGACAGCGTTAATTTCTTTTCCTGCCTCCATGTTCCTTTTTTGTATTATGATTTTGTTTTGCAACAAGTGGGAAGTCCTTAGAGGATAGAAGGAAGTATGTGTACGGGAGTGGTTGAGTAGTTGTAAGAATGGTGGGGCAGGAATTGTGGAGGAGGAGGTAGGAATAAATGAAGGGAACAACGGTTGGAGAGCGATGGTGAGAAGGAATGATGACTGGATAAGCTGATGGATGTGAGTTGTGGAAGCGAGAGAGGCGATCGATGTAGGATGGATGTTAGTGGAGATGTGGAGGTGTGGGTAGGTAATGAAGAAACCTTTCAAGGACAGAAGGTGGTGGAGACTTTGCGGGCTAGGTCAACATTGAGTTTTCAGTTATATTATACGCTAAGTTTTGGAAAAAATTCAAGTCTAGCGTAGTACCTCTTACAATAATAATATTATAGTATTGTTGTTTTGGTATTGTAGAAGAAAGTAGTAGTCATACTTAGGGCACGGTTTAAGAAAGCAAACCCTATTGCTGATAAAAACTTGAGAATTACAATCTTTCTTATTCGGTTACTTTAAGTTTAAATTTTACTGTTTCTTACAGCATTATAGAACTTGATTTTAATTTTTTTCTCCACCATTCGAGTCTGGTGAGCATAGTAGAGGAGATTTGGGAGGAGGTGCACTCAGCAAATATACAGAAAATGGGTCGGCAGTCCAGCCCTAGTTTTGAAAAGCCTATATCGGTGCAGTTGAAATTATTCGCGGTCGCCGAGTCCCTGAGGGGCCCGAGCAAGAGCTGGCTGAATCCTGCAGCAACTTATGTTAAAGGCAACAGATACAGAAGCCAGGCCGAACTTCGGTTTTGAGAAGATTGTTTTCGGTAGTTCGGGCAGGCCATAATCAAAGCGGTCTGAACCGGCCCGCCTGAAAATATGTAAAATTTGTTGTTATTCTTTGGGACAGCTGCGTGGGGAGGAATTCCTATTGGGTGGACAGCGGGCGTCCAGTACCGCAATCGTGGTTATTTGTTGTTTTGACTGATGATATATAGCACAGCGCAATAGTTCTTACGCGGAAATGGTAACAATAAAATAGTATATTCTCTTGTAATAATCGAGTTGTCTGAATGTACAATATAGAAAGAATATAGCCGAGTTATATAGAAAGGCTGTCTCAGCATGATACGTCCGAAGAGAAAATAAGGAAACAAAGGAAAATCGATTAAGCGTATGAGGGTAATAAGAGGTACAAAGAGGTAATAAAAAGAATAAAGAAAAGAAGGATAAAGAGCTATGTCCTGCCAGCCAGGGTAACTGGCATTCTGAATAGAGAATTTAAGAGTATAAAGAAATACTCATAGAAAAAACAAAATACTTATGCTTTTCTTTTTACTTCCGATATGTATTGGGAATATCTTTGTACTCTTAGTGAATTAATTGAGGTGTTCGTTGGCAATGGCACCAATATCACTATTACCCGAAAACCCATCATGCTCAACGCATATGGTGTTTTTTAACAAGAAGGTTTACTGCAGCGGTCTGGAAACTGCTGACTCCAATCGTATGGCTAGACAATTATGCAAAGATGGTATTTGAAATCCTAACTGGGGAAATATCCTCCCAAAGAAAAAAACAGGGCGCGAAAAAGAACAAAAGCCTGCTTGACCTAAAAACAGGTAACGGAGAGGGTGAGACAAATTGGGTGATGAACGAAAACAACTAACAAAGGGAAAATAGTCTGCCTTTTGTCATTCTCTGGATCATCCAGATCCCTTCCTGTAGACTTCCAGTGTATGCCGTGTTCTTCATCACATTCAATCTTACCACTTCCAACATTGGTATTTAGGCCGAAGATGAGAAGATTTGATAAACGTTAAGTTCTGACCGAGGGTAAGAGTATGCCAGTAACCGAGGATATTCCTCCCTACAGTATCTCCAAAATTTAATAATGGGAGTAATGATTTCAAAAAAAAAAAAAAAGAGAGAGAGAGAAAGGGAGGGAGGGAGAGAGGGATGGCGCGGGCGTTGTCGCAGGTGGTGTTTGATTTGTAGGACTAACCTATAGTCAAACATATAGAGGCGTCCGAGTAGCAGGTATACGGCGAGAGTGTTAGGGGTTGTCAAGTAAAAATATGGAGACCCCCCTTCTCTGCGAATTTGGGTTACGGTTGTAGAGTCTTGGCAGTAGGGAAATAATAATATGGGGTAAGCAGTCAAAAAAAAAAATTACCGTCGACATATAAGTTAGTGATGGGAGAAAATCTTAGGTGCCTGTAATTCCAAAATGGTACCGCCTCACCCATCCCAGTTTCCCACTCAGCGAAAAACCCCAATAAACTCCTGGATAACGTCTATATGAGATTCACGATAGAAAACTCGGGAGATTCCTGCTATTGAAGCACATTAGAATGCTACTACTCGAGTAACTTGCAATCACTGGGCAGTAGCGTTCTAGCATTAGTCATGCTCCCTCCCAAAATGATTGGATGCTAAGTATTACACAACAAGCCTCATCACCCTGCTTTCTTCAGCCTTGATCACAAAATTTCACAAACTCCCGCGATACCGGTACAAATTTTTTTACTATTTCTACATAAAACCCACACTCTCGAAAGAATATCATGGCCCAGACTGCGCAAGTCAATATCGGCGACGGCAATGCCAACTGCGGAAACATAACCGGCAGTTTTATCAAAAACAAAACTGTATATAAGTGCGACGAGGATGCGCAGATCATGCGTTGGCTCTCACCACTGGAGCCAAATAACAGACACCAGAGCGTGCGCAACGAGCGGTTTGACGGTGTGGGAGATTGGCTATTGGAGACTAGAGAGTTTCTAGAGTGGAAGTGCGGTGGGACTGGAGCCGATGGGGCTATCCTCTTTTGCAGCGGAAATCCGGGAGTGGGAAAGACGTATCTAAGGCAAGTTGCAGGATTCTCCGAAATAACGCGAAAATTGCTGACGGTAGGAAATATTAGTTCATTGGTGATTGACAGCCTGTGCAATCAGGCGGGCGAGGAGGACACTATCGTTGCAGGCTTGTACTGCGACTTCCTCACACAGGGAGACCAGACGGTCGCCAACATTATGGGAGCTATCTTGAAGCAGCTATCTTGAAGCAGCTGGTATGCAGAGGGGACATCCCGAATTATATGCGAGAGGTGTTTCGCAAAGCGAAAAAGGTGTTCGGCGGCAGAGGGCTTCGACTTCCGGATCTCATGGGAATGCTGAAGATGGCGATTGCTTCGCTACCCCAAGTTTTCATATGTATTGATGCACTGGATGAATGTTTACCGAAGAATCTGCCAAAGCTTCTGGAGTCGCTAAGAGATATTGTTCGGGAGTCCCTAGGACGCGAATATTTCTCACTGGCAGGCCTCATGTCAAGGAAGATATTCTAAGATATTTCAGCCTGGTTGTGGTACTAATTAGTCCTACCATAGGCGACATTAGGAGTTATCTGGAGATGAGGTTGGACGAGGACAATGATCTAGAGGCGGTGAACGATGAGTTGCGAGCGGACATCATTGGAACTATCCTGGAAAAGATATCTGACATGTAGGAGCATATACCATTCCAATTCTATCATCAATTCTCATCTATGATCCTGTGCAGATTCCTCCTTGTTTCTCTGAACATCGACGCTATTCTGGGAGAGGTAACAA